CACCATCACCATCACCATTATCAGCACCACTATCACCATCCCCATCATTATTCACCAGGGCTCCAGGCGCCTATATTCATGCCCCATCACATGCCACCAGATAGGGCCTGGAGATGTTCCTAAGGAAGGGATCCAAAAATCCTCTGAGCCATGAGATCACCTTTGCCCCTATTGCAAGTATAAGTTTAGGATCACATAAAGTAAACTCCAAGGAATCGTTAGAGGATCCATTTTCAGACCATCTTGAAAGCAGGGGAGAAAACAATGTGTTGCCCCCAGAGCCAAAGAGCTCTGCTCTGGCTCGCGAAGTATCAGCCCCGTCGCTGTATTCCTCATCCGCATTGGGAGGCTTGTCCCTGTCACTGAATGTGGGCGGTGGGGAACGCGTGGAGAGGGGGAGAGGGTGGTGGTCAGGGCAGCACCGAACTTTGAGTCTGCAACACACTTGGTGGCAAAGACTGTGGGTTCATACTGTCACCGCATCTTACCAGATCCTTACCCAGAACTTTTGTGTATAAGATTTACAAATGAAAAACTCTTGTAACTAGGGTGATCGTAAATGAAAATGCAGGTACTGGATGATTCCCCAATCCACGTAAAGACCCCAGACGCAGCGGCACCATGCATCCCTTCCTTCTGTTCCAGGGGCTCGCGCTGAAGTCATTTTGGCCAAAAACATACTGAAAGCCTTCAAATTACCACCTCTTTTGACCTAGAAATCCCACCCCTAGGAATTTATCCCAAGGAAATCATGGATCCTCAAAAAAATTAGCTATAAGGTTGTTTATCAGAGTTGCTTATACAGAGTGAAAAATCGAGAACAAGCTAAGCCCTTATCGCCCTGAGTGGATGGGTTGGGTCAGTCATGGCACATCAAGCAGGGGGGTCCATACGGCCACCAGAGCCAGGGAAGGAGGAAGATGCGTCAGCAGTACCAACAACATTTGCCATACACTCAGTGGGGAAAAGCACATTATCAAGTTCAGCCCAATTTTTTGTTTTTGTTTTGTTTTGCGATACGCAGGCCTCTCACTGTTGCGGCCTCCCCCGTTGCGGAGCACAGGCTCTGGACGCGCAGGCTCAGCGGCCATGGCTCACGGGCCCAGCCGCTCCACGGCATGTAGGATCCTCCCGGACCGGGGCACGAACCCGTGTCCCCTGCATCGGCAGGCGGACTCTCAACCACTGCGCCACCAGGGAAACCCCATTCTTTTTTTTAATATTTATTTATTTATTTATTGGGATCTTAGTTGCGGCACGCGGGATCTTCATTGCCGCGTGCGGAATCTTTAGTTGCAGCATGCGGGATCTAGTTCCCTGACCAGGGATCAAACCCGGGGCCCCTGCACTGGGAGTGCAGAGTCTTAGCCACTGGGCCACCGAGGAAGTCCCAGCACCATTCTTGTAAAAAACCAAGAATTTTACAAATGCTTACCAAACAACCCTGAAAGGATATACAACCCCCCTCCTCCATTTTGTTTAGAAAGATTGACTGACTTTTAAAAAAGCTCCTTGGGATTGACATATACATTAATATGTATAAAATGGATAACTAATAACCTGCTGTATAAAAAAATAAATAAAATAAAATTCAAAAAAAAGAATAAAGCTCCTTGATGGTGAAAGCAGTCATCCACCCTGCCCCATGGGCCCGTGAGACAACGGGGCAACCCCACAGCCAGCCAGCGATGGAGCAGGAGGCCGGTAAGGACTTCCAGCCCTGCTGCCTCGGGGCTGAGCTGCTGCACAGACAGGAGGCCTGGCCGGGTGGAAGGGCGCCCGCAGCGGCCACCAACAAAGCTCTTCCCTAGACCCTCCATTCATCTGGACTACCTGGTCTTGCACACGCTAAGGGCTGTCCTCCTACAGGTGTGCACTCCACCCGGCCGTGCCAGCCCTGGTGAGGAGGTGAAGGAAGGGCCCGGGGTCAGCGTTCTGTCCTTAAACCTGTGTGACCTTGGGCAAGTCCCTGGCCACCCCCTCCAGCCTCCCTATCCTTGGCTGTAAAGCGGGGTCATCAGTCCCGCTTTGCTGAGGTGGCGGGAGATGAAAGATGATGCTGATGCCGGGCACGATGTCCGCGTAAATGGTGGGTATGGTTGCTGGTGGAGTGAACGTGAGCATTCCTTCTCCATCAAGGTGAGAGAGGTGAGTCAGCGGGGAAGTCCGAGGAGCCTCATGTCACCCCCCCATCCCCGTCTATCCGCCCCCCTCCCCCAGCCCGCTGGATCTTCCTTCGTGACTGCTGGCGGAGAGGAACCCGCTGTCACATCGCCTTTCTCTAACGTGTTTGGGGAGCCAGCCCCACTGGGTGCCACAGGCATGGCCTCTTACCTGCTTTATCACGTGCTTTACTTTGGTTTTTGTCTCCTCCACCAGAAGGTTCACCCCCAAGGCCCCAGGATTCAGCCAGTCCAAAATCTACCAGCAAAAGAGAAGCTTTCAGGAAAGCGTACACGTCTTTCCACTTTCCAAAGTGTGTGCCCACCTCCGGTGTCTTTTCCGGTCCTCCTAACTAATTTCCCTCGTGGGCTGGCAAACAAGGAAATGGCCCAGAATGCTTTGGAGGCCTGTGAAGGCAGAACCCGAGCCCATCTCTTTGAGGTCGATTCTGGGGCTCTGTCCACCACCCCACACCCCTTCTCCAGTCTGTGGTGAGGACCTGCAAGGCATCCAAGCACCAGCACCTCCCTGGGGCAGAGGGTTTCTTCACTCTCTCTAGCCCCCTAGGATCCCAGCTTCCAGCATCCACCTCCAAACTGGGCATCCAAACAAGAAAGTAACTGGTCCATAATTGGTGCAGTCATAGTCACAGCCATGTGTGTGCCTGGCACATGCCAAGCACTTTACAGCCACCCATGCAGTCGGTGCTGTTGCTATCTCCTTGTTTACACTGGAGGAAACTGAGGCACAGGGAGCAGGGTCCTTGCCTGAGGCTACAACACTAATAACTGAGAGGGCTGGGAGTCGACTGGAACTCTGGGGTCTGACTCCAGAGCTGGCGCATAGAGCCAGACCTGCAGAGAGATGGCCGCCATGCCAGAACTCTGCGCAAGGAGGCTGAGGGATAGGTGAGCGTGGATGATGGGATTACAGTCATCAGAGGATGGGGAGAAGGGGGCAGGATGCCGAGGAGGGCACATAGGGGGTAGAGCCCCGTGTCTAAGGATTCTCAGAGTTCAGAAAAGTTTCAGGATTCTGTAATCCAGCCCGTGTGGCAGCCTGAATCCTGCTCAGGGAATAACAGGGGCGTTGTGCTGAGCCGCTTACGCTAGTGTAAGGATGCACACTTAAGCATTCTTAGGGGGCAAATTAAACAGTAAAATGCACCCCTGTCTTCGGATCAAGTCTTTCCCCCGCCGCCTTTAAAAGTAACTACTTTTAAAATTCTCTGGTCACCCAGAAGCTCACCGGCTTTACCACTGGCTGACACCCCACAGTCTCCCACACAAAGGGGATTCTCACAAAGTGAGAAAAATCTAACCGACCGATTATCATCAAATTGATGAATTTTTTACAGAGACTGACTAACAGTTAAAAAAATTGACATCTTATGCATTTAAACATTCATTTGCAGCTTTCCTTTTGTTCTGTGAATTTTTCACGTCCTAAACATTTTCACAGGCCCTGGAAAAGGTCCGAGTTCCCCCAGCGAGGGACTACTGATGGGGTGTTTTAGGAGTTTGGGGGCGTCTGATTATGAATTCTGAACGTTCTAGGGTGTCCTGTCTCTATGGGCCGAAGCACATGGACCCATGGGTGAAAAGGATGAAGGTGTCCTCCATCTTCCCATATTCAGACTGGAGAGGCCTTAATTTCATCCACCATTTTAGAAAGGGGGAAACCCAGGCCCAGAGGGGCAAAGGGCACCCCGGAGGTCACGTCTGGAGGTACCGGAGGTCACCCTATGAGCTAGAGGCAGATACTGGCCGCAACACAGGCCCCTTGCCTCCCTGGGGTCGGACCTGGCCCCTGGCCCCTCGTGACCGTTAAACCGGTAGGGGGCCAGGGGTGGCGGCCGGAGATCCAGGTCCTGGGCTCGCCCCTGACCGTCGGCCCCTCGTCGCCCCCGCCTCCCCACCAGCGGACAACTCGGCACCTGGTACTTTTCCATTGTGTCTTGCGGGGAGACTCCCGGCCTCCCTGTCCCACCACTGGGCGCTGGGGCGCACCGCTAGCCCCAGCCGAGTCGGACCCTGAACTGAGCATGCTCAGTCTGGACCGCGTCCGGTGAGCGCCCATCCCCCACCCTGGGGGCGCCCTTCAGTCCCGGGTGCTGGCCTCATCCGGGGACCCTCCCTGCCCGAACAGTGTCACATTGTCCGCTGGGGCACCCGCGCGTCTCCAGCAGGCCGGCCCTCAGGGAGGAGCGGGCGGAGCCTCGAGCGGGGAGGGCGGGGCCTCAAGTGCGGTGGGCGGGGCCTGAGCGCGGCGGGCGGCGCGCGGCCCCTTTAAGGCGCGGCCGGGGCGGGCCCCGCGGCGCGGCCCCTTTAAGGCTTGGCCTACGTGGCAGCCGCTGGAGCCGCGGACGAGGAGCGAGGCCGGCCGCCGGCACTTCGTGTGGAGGCCGCAGCGGGCGCAGGCGCGGGCGCCGACGGGCCGAGCGCCGAGGGAGCGAGCGAGCGAGCTAGCCGAGCCTCCCGCCGCCGCCATGGGCCAGAACGACCTAATGGGCACGGCCGAGGACTTCGCAGACCAGGTGCGGCCTGCGGGCTCGGCCGGCCCCTCCCCCGGGCCTCCCGCCCGGAGCCTCCTCCCCCGGCCCCCCTCGGCCCCCTCTCCTGGATTCCCCCCGGGGACCCCGCCCGGCCCGCCTGCACCCCCCGGGCCCGGCCCCGAGACCCCGGCCGCCCCCAGAGCCGGCCCCCGGCCCGCAGGGCCGCCCCGAGGCCTGGGCCGTGCCCTCACTCCCGATCCCACCGGAGGGATCGCGCCCCCTCCCCCAACCAGGGCCCTCCCTCCTGGGCTCGCCGCCCGTCCCGGCCGGGGGCACCCCCAAACCCGGCCTCCGGGCCCAGCCTGCCCTTGCGCCGCCCCCCCACCCGGGTTCTGGGTGTGTTCCCGGGCCCCTGCTTCGGCGCCCAGCTCGGTGGGCCCGTCCTCCCCAGCCCGGCCCGGGCCATCCTAGAAGCCGAGGGGTGTCAGCGGCTGCCTCCCCGGCTCCGGAGAAGGGGCCCGAGGCCCCGGGGTGCGTGGGGCGCGTCCTCTGCATTCTACACTGTCGGGTGGTCCCTGCACGCTTTTCCTTTTACTGGGCGCTCTTCGGGGGCGGGCTGGGGAGCTGATCCTGAACGGGGGTTGGTCAGGCTGGAGGCCTGGGGTCCTCCCAGAGGAAAGGGGGCGCCCTGGTATGCACCCCACTGCAGAAAGCCACAGTACTTGTTTTCTCTTTCCCAGATGTGTTGGGTTCCTGGGGTCCCTTTGACCCTTCCCTGCGTTTTCCTTCCCTGTTTGGACTCTGACCTGAGACTGAAATGAATGGGTATCTATCTGTCTGTACACAAACCTGGGAGGAGGGGAAGCCTACCTTCCTGTTTTTCCCCTTCCAAGGGTGTACAGGTGGCCTTCCGAGCTACAGGGAAGCCCTTGAAACAGGCCCTTGAGTCACCATTAAAGGTGTTCAAAAACTAGATGGACAGAACCAGATCCTGGAAAGGGGAAAGGACACAGTTTCCACCCTCTCTCTCTACCAAGCTTGGTCCAAAGAACATGGTGGTGATTATTCAGTCGTGTACGTTTTACTTCTAAAAGTACCCCGTTATGTCTACAGACGAACAGCCCCATCTCTGCCGGAAGATCCATGTCTGGCCCAACTGTCATTCTTTCTTTGGTTCACTTAATGTGTGTGTGGCTTTGCCAGAGTTAAGAGTAGTGAGGTTAAATTTTTTATTTTTATGGGGGTGGTATTAATTCATCATACTCTGAGGCTGGGCTTCTTGGAGGGTGTGTGTGTGTGTGTGTGTGTGTGCGCGCGTGTGCACCTTCTGATCAGTTATTGGTGAACAAGATTTCCTGTTGTTTCCCTTGAGGGGTGATACCTCTCTTGCGTGGTCTCCCAGTCGGGTTCTCCTATGCGCTACTTTCCTGTGAGCTGATACTTTAAAAACCACTTTGGGGATAACACATAGCGACTTGAAGAAACAGTTTTTCCTAAGGTCGTGATTTTGTGTTTACAGACACAATCCAAAAATTGTATCCCTCTCAAAAACAATTCATATCGAAAGCTCTCAAAAACCAAGGAGGCTTGCTTAGTTTGTCGGTTTTCATTGCCATAACCGTAGTGACCCAATTTTGTTCCCCCAAGGAGCAACTACCTAAGGCGATGGCTCCTTTTAGCCAAGGGAGTCATGAGAGCCTTGTACACGCACTCTGCAGCCCGGAAAAACCCTGGTTTTGCAAGTGAATTTCATAACCGAATCTAGATAAAATGTCTCCAGTCAGGTTGCTGCCAACTGTCGAATGATAAACCCTCCTACTGCCAAAATAAAAACAAAAAAACCCCACCAGACTCTTTTTACGTAATCCTTTCTTCTTTTTCTCCATTTTGTTTGCCTTCAATGAGAGAAGCAGAATCTTGGAACCAGAAAGGCCCTTGAGGGGCACACAGGGTTGGCCTGCACCAGTTTACTATGGGAAGGGAGGCCGGGCCTGCTGAGGCTCCTGGACTGGCCTGGGGCCATGGCCCTGGGAGAAGCCCAGTCTCTGACCTCGAGGCTAGTACCACACACAGCGTGCTTCTAAAGCCTGGTGTTCCTCTCCGGGTACAAATGAAGGGAACCGCACAAAGCACTAGCGTCGTAAGAGGGCGCGCGCTGCCTTAAAAAACGGAGAAACAGCGTGGACCGAGGCCGCGTCTGTCGGGCAGTGCAGGCCCCTGCTGTCAGTTTTTCAGCAGCAGAGCCCACCTCGATGGTGACAGCTGTCAGCGGACCCCTCTGGGTGGCTCAGGAGGGCGGGGCTCAGCGTCTGTCACAGCGTCTGTCACAGCCAGAGTTAGGAGCCTCTTCTGGCGGCAGGCTTGGTGCGAGAGGAGGATGTGGACAGACAGTGGGGTGCAGAGCCAAAGCAGTGGCTTCCTGTGGACAAAATCTGGGGTGGCGCTTTTGTTTTTAACATTTACCCACATAGTACTAAAACAATAAAGGTGCTGCGAGTCCGGCTTTTAAGATGAAAATGATCTAATTTGAAGGGACTGGGGAAATGGCATCAGAGTCACTGATCATATAATATGACATATTTGTCTTTTCTAACCTTGTCTTCAGAAGACAAAAGCAAAAGTTAAGTGACAGGATGTGGCCAGAAAGTCTGGGCTGCCGTGAACGGGACCTCAAAAGGGCCGTGTGTCCTCTGAGAGTCATGACAGCAATCCCGAACCTTCGACACACCCGCACTGGGCCAGGTCCTCCGCATATACGACTTCTGCCGCCCCTGGATCCCGGAGCTTGGCCATAGCGTTTCCACCTTTAGATGCGGAGAGGGAGGTCTGTGTGGTCTCGCGCAGCACGTGGTGGGTCAATATGTTGAGTCCACGCGTGGCTTGGCCGTCCTGCGACCTTGCCTTCAGGTCTGCAGAGGCGCGAGCGCAGCGTGAGTGGTCTGGTTACTTCCCGCTGGCAGGCTGTGCCCGAGCTGCCTCTTTGGCATCAGGCTCCCTGCCCTGCGTGGCCTCCTGCTGGAGAAGGTACTGAGAGTGCTCTGTGCTGGAGCTGGGCATTCGGAAGCCATCTGACACTGGTCTGAAGGAGCCAGAGACTAATGAACTCGGCAGTCCAAAATTATGCACGTGCCCTGCAGCTGGAGCTCGCTGCCAGTCTGCAGACTGTAACTTGCAAGCACATTTGCACCAGTAAATAGGAGTATTAGCACTTAATGGGTTCTACCTGGTGGTTCGTCACCAAGGTGACAGATAAGCTGCATGAGGCCTTGCTCTCCAGTGTGGCCTTTGGTATTTTTTTTTAAAATAAATTTATTTATTTATTTATTTATTTTTGGCTGCATTGGGTCTTCGTTGCTGCGCACAGGCTTTCTCTAGTTGCGGCGAGCAGGGAGGGGCTACTCTGTTGCGGTGCGCGGGCTTCTCATTGCAGTGGCTTCTCTTGTTGCGGAGCACGGGCTCTAGGCGCCCGGGCTTCAGTAGTTGTGGCTCGCGGGCTCTAGAGCGCAGGCTCAGTAGTTGCGGCGCACGGGCTTGGTTGTGCCGCGGCATGTGGGGTCCTCCTGGGCCAGGGATAGAACCTGTGTCCCCTGCGTTGGCAGGTAGATTCTTAACCATTGCGCCACCAGGGAGGTCCCTGGCCTTTGGTGTTTTTACCTGTCCTCTGGCAGGACAGAGCCAGTCCTGGAAGCTGTCACCCCCAGGAGCTCCCCTTGGCCTCTGGTCAATCGCCGGAGAGCTAGGATGGCCTTGGCAGGACACTGAACCGGGCATACACAGCCCCCAGGCCTCAGGACTCCGGATTAACAGTGCGTGGATGACCGTCAGTGTGGTAGGTTCTGGTGACAGTGGTGGGTGGCTGCTGAGTGTTTTCCTCTTGTTCCTTTGCTCTGTCACCCCCTCCCCAGCAAGGGCTTCCTGCCTTATGCCGAAAAGGCGTGGGGAGAGGGCAGAGGGGAGCCGGCTGGCTCACTCTCCCCGCTCACCGGTCTTAGACAGGAGGTTCAGAAAAGCCGCCCCGCCTCTTCTGGGCAGTGGGGTGGAGGCGTGCGGGCGGGGGCTGTGGTTGGTGAGGCTTGCTCCCGGAAGGTCAGGTGCAGCCTGGAGCTGCCTTCCTATTGGTAGGCGCTTTGTCCCACGTGGGTTTTTAGTAAAGAAAGCCAGGCCATCTCTCCAGCTCAGGGCCGGCTGACATCTCTTCCTGGACCTCGAGGTGCTGCGTGACCCTACAGAGCAGTGCTCAGGGAGACTTACTGGGGGTTCGGGGGTCTCGGTGGACGCACATGTGTGAGGCACTGAGCTCCAGTACCAGCCCTGACTCAGCCTGATGTGCGGGAAGTCACCTGGCCGCTGGTTCTAATCTGGGACGCGCAGGCTTGAGCTGGCCCTTGAGAAGGGCAGCCCCGGTCCTCGGTGATCAAGGAAGTCTGACTGCCTCTTTCCTCCGCCTCTAAGTTCTCATGAAATAAGAATTGCAGACTGCTTTCCTCAGGTCCCTTTTGTCCTGAATACTAAGACAAAGTAGGTTTTCCCGTGCTTTGTGGGACATGATCGCCGTATTCCCAGGGTTATGTCCCAGGTCAGGTGTAGCTACCCCAGTGGAGAGAATGGCTGACCGCCCCGCGGGTGCGCGGGCAGCAGGCAGCCCCCGGCCTTCGGGCCCTTTGTGTGAGCGGGAGGCCGGCTTAGCACGCGCACCGGCCAGGTGGCTTCTGGGTGCCTGCTTCGGGGGCTCTTCTGCTGTGCCGAGAGGACACTGTCTAAAGCAGCGTGACGTGGGTTCAGGGGCCACACGTTGAGACCAAGATGTGTGTAGGCAATAAGATTAAAATTGGGTCTGGTCTCATGTTATATCACACCTAGTTTTTTTCTTTCCTGTTCAGTGCAAACAGGTGCCCATTAGCGCGTGGCTGGTTAAGAGAGGCTCCGGATCGGCCTGACTTATAAAACCGTCAGCCCTAAACCTAGGTCACGTATGACTTTGAAAATCAGATTTGTG